GCGTAGAAAAGAAACTGTTGGCTGTCTAAGTGAGTTTGATTCATACATTGATGGTTCGAGTTGTTCATTACATGATGCAGTGAGCAGTTTAGCACCGGTTAATGATTTAATGCACGAGCACTGCTGTAGTTTATATAACAACACTCTCCAACAGCAGAATGGTACTTTTATTTCTTTTAAGTCTAATTCCTAGTCATAATAGAATGATATCTTAGTTTTACCGGCAATATACAGTTTGTGATTGCATTTTATATGTCCAGATATGTCCAGACGTGCAGTCTACCAATAACATTAGAGCTACAGCAGTAGGAACGCCCACAAGCGTCTTCACAGCACGGAGTCTAGCGACATACAGAGAAAAAGTCGCTGGCAGTGTGAACGGGGCTTGATGGAGGATCACGTCGGGGCAAGATGTGCTGTATTTCATTTGAATGAAATTTAAAATTATGAGATCGCATGCCTCATTAAAAGCCTGGGAATTCTTTTACATTTATTTAAATAAACAAATGAGGAATAATATTTTAATATAATTATAAATATTATTTTAGAAGAAAATTGCTTTATTGCCTATAATGTATTTATTTATTTTAATTATTTATTTATTTTTACCAATAAAGCAGCTTTGCTCCAAAGAAATATTTGAAAAACTAAATCAATATTTTTTCTTTTTGCATTGTGATATAATTCTCATCACAGTTAATCAGAACAATTCTCATTATGATAACAGGGTAGTGATAACTCTCTTAAGTGATGCTGACTGTGCTGAAACGTCTGTGATTGTCATCAGGTAGCATCTGCAGGGAAGTGCTGCCGCTGATCTCCTGTCCCACGCTGATCGTCCACGGAGCCAAAGACCCCATGGTGCCTTCATTTCACCCAGAATACCTGCAGCAGAACATCAGGGCTCACAGCTCCTGTCATTACAGAGGAAGCTCTTCAGTCTGTTTTATCGGACGCTTTGTGTTGCATGTGATGCATGTGATGCCGGAGGGGAAGCACAACCTGCATCTGCGATATTCCACTGAGTTTAACACGCAGTTTCTGACGTTTCTGACTGAATGATCAGCACCTTCTGCGGTAAACAAGGACGTTACTGTGTTTGCTTCAGTCAGAGAAATCCACTGTCTGTTGTTATAAATTGATTGTGGCCATTTTATCACCTGTGTGTTTTCATTTTTAATGCATGTTCTGTGGTGAAGATATTCGTGGATGTATACATGTTCCTGAATGTTTTGATGATCATCATTTTCAACAAATCTGTGCTGGAGCGACATTTTTTGGTTTGAAAAAGTACTATAGTTTTAATACAGCAACACTAACTGTATTAATGATTGTATTTTTGAACAGAAGTGTTACAGATTCATACTAAATAAACATTTATTTTAGTATACATTATTATATTTATTATAATAATGTAGTAATATAATAATAATATTAACTGTATTATATATATTTTTTTTTAAATTTTTTTTTTTTTATATATATATATAGCCATAACACACACACATTAAAAATACATACCTACATACATATATTTAATTCATATATTTGTTTATATATAATTTTGGTAACACTTTACATTAAGGATCATTAGTTAACATTAGTTAACTACTTTAGTTAACATGAACTAAGCATGGACCATACGTTTACAGCGTTTATTAATCTTAGTATAATAATAATATTAATTTCAGCATTTACTAATGCATTATTAAAATCAAAAGTTGTTAACATTAGTTAATGCACTGTAAACTAACATGAACTAACAATGAACGACTTTAATTATCTAACATTAGCAAAGATTAATAAATACTGTAATAAATGTATTGTTCATTGTTTGTTCATGTTAGTTAATACATTAAAGTGTTGCCATAATTTGATATATAAAAAATTAAATATGAATTATAATTATATAAAATATAGAAATGTGAATATATTCTAAATGTGTTCAGGGTATTTTACCATAACAATTTTATTTTCATCTTATTCTATATTCAGAATGGTTCTGAATTGCTTGATTTTGTTACCTTACAGTACCATATATACAGGTATATTTTGAAGGGGCTTGAGAGCAAGATTTTAGTCTGATTTTCTCTCAACAAATCATAATCATATTGCTCCAGAATGTTGGTTATATAGCTTTTTTTTGTTGTTTTGTTTTTACATTTACACTTAGTCATTTAGCAGACGCTTTTATTCAAAGCCACTTACAAATGATGACAATAGAAGCAATCAAAATCAAAACAATAACAAGTCTCAGTTAGCTTAATGCTAACTTTTGTTCTTTTTTTTAATCTATTTTTTTGTTGTTGTCATTTTTGGAGCTTTCATTTCACTTTCATTGTATGGTAAAAACAGTGTGAGCTTTATTAAGCACTTATTTTATATATATTTTTTATTATCGTATGCATAATTATAAACAGTGTTGGGGGTAACGCATTACAAGTATCGCGAGTTACGTAATCAGATTACTTTTTTCAAGTAACTAGTAAAGTAACGGATTACTTTTTAATTTACAAGAGAATATCTGAGTTACTTTTTCAAATAAGTAACACAAGTTACTTTTTTTTTTTTCCAATTTATTGACTGACAGCTCTGCTGTCCCCATGTTGAGAGAAATCAGAAGATGTATATGCTTTATGTATTTAATCCCATTCTATTAACCAATGTCTTTGCTTCTGACCTTCGATGATCCAGTTCAACTGTACTAATAATCAAAAATTACTTTTTTATTGCTGAAGTGTGTTGAAATTTCTTCTTCTGCATTCTACTGTATGGATGTAAATTTACTTTCCCTTCAACCTGATGCTTATTCATTTCACTTTTGGTGTGAAAAGGCTTTTATACAGTATTTGCCAAAAATAGAACTTTTTTATTTTAAAAACAAACCAGCAAGCCCTGTGCAGATTTAAAAAGTAACGCAAAAGTAACGTAACGCATTACTTTCCATAAAAAGTAACTAAGTACCGTAATTGGTTACTTTTTTATGGAGTAACGCAATATTGTAATGCATTACTTTTAAAAGTAACTTTCCCCAACACTGGTTATAAAGGTCGTGATTTATATTTAAAGGAAAACGCATGATTTTTCGTCCTCCGCACCGGCAGGTGTCGCTGCAGTTTCGCGTCGCTGCGGAATCCGGAAGAGCGACGAGCGCTTTTACTTTC